TCCTGTCAGCCACCTGCAAACAAACACATATCTTCTATTTTCTTCAGTGGTAGGCGTGGCTGTTGCCATGGAGAAGCTGGCCTGGGGAAGTGGGGGTCAAGTGGGTAGAGCAGTATTGCTTTTGATTGGCCAGACTCGCTGTCACAGGAGGAGGTCCCCTGGGATCTGGTCTCTCCCAGCGAGGGTGAGGTAAGTAGGGGGCCTGGCAGGTACTAATTCAGCATCTGGCCCCACCGCTAGTTGCCTTTTGGGCTGCAAGTGGAGGACAGAGTGAGTTAGAGGTAAGGGTCGGGTCACTCGGAGGGCAGCTGACCTCATCGCATAAGGCTCACCTGGTGTCAGGTAGCCTAGCAGAAGGATGTCGCCCACTACGTCATGTTCCTGGCTTTGGCTGTGGGTTGCTCTGACATGACCTGTGTTAAGACCGTGGTTACAAAGCAACGACATACAGCAGGTCACATGCTTGCCTCTCGCTAGTGATCCTCTCTTCCCACTGCTTCACGTGCAGAACGGTGTCACCTGGCATCATTATTCGGTGCTCAAGGTTTTACCTTTTACAAACCGGAAATTAGACGGATATGCCAGGATTTAACCATAATGTACAGCTAGCTGAGTTTTTAGCTTTTTTTCTTACTAATATTTTATCTAGTTGGCCATCTTTGTCCTTAAATGGAGACTTGATGGTTCAAAAGCAATAGGCGGTTTTTAATGTCTTTAAACAGGCCAAAATGGCGCCCAGAAACGTGGGTCATGCCTGCGCCAGCCAGCTTCTCCACACCCTCACCCGCATCGATCTTTATCTTTTAAAAATTTGCTAGTTTGACAGGTCAGAAAAGTGTTCATTGTAATATTTTATGTTTCTTTGATTTCTGATGTTAAGTACTGACTTTTATGACACTAATTTTATGAACTCTGGATTAATGTTCTTTATTTTCATGTTGGACTGTCTTTTTATTAATGCTAAGAGCTTCATACATTTGAAATATTAATCGTCATCTAATTGTCATCTAATTGCAACTAATTGTTGCAAAATACTTTCCCCTTCCATTTTTGGTTTGTTTTTATTTTGGTTGGTTTTTATAGCAGAACATTTGGACCCATCTGTATTTTGCGGTCTCCCACGTAGTGGTCTTTTCAGTAATCTCTGCTGTTGGGATTATGGTTGAGCATTCTCCTACCTTCCCCTCTTTCTGCTGGTGTAAACAGTGCTTCTGTGAACACACTTTTGAACTGTTTATCTTTGTGCATGTGGGCAGATAGGTCTGTGAGTTTGATTTCAGAAGTGAAACTGCCAGGATGGGGGATGGCGTTGTATTTATGTCCTGATAATTGCTGGATGTAATTGGGGGGTATATTCAAATTGCACCGCAATTTCCATAAGCGTTTATTGGGTCACAGAGGTTTCGAAGTTGGTTTTTCAGGGTTTTCTAAATTGACTATCAAGTCATTTACAAATGGCCAGGTTAGGGCATGACCCTGGACTCCAGCTGGGGCTGGGGTGGTCAGGGAGGGAGGAGAGCCTGGGCTCAGCATCGGCCAAAGCTGGTAGCGCTGCCCGCACCCACTCAGGTTGGTTTTTGCACGGACGTTGGCAAAACCTTGTGATTAGATACTCACAGACATTCGAGTGGTCACATTATTAGTGAGTATGGAGTGTGTTATCTTTTTGCTGTGCTCTGGAAATGTTTTTTATAACATAGTAAATACTTTCTTTGTTCATGGAAAGTTTATTTGGGAAGTTCCTTAAATTATTTCAACTTTTTAGTTTTCTTCCCTGGTGATCCTATTTTCTCTGCTTCCTGAGTCAGGTTTGGCTATTTATATTTTCTTTAAAAATTCTTGATTTCCTGTCAAACTTCTTAAGCCTTCAGTTCTGATATATAGTTTTCACCTAGTGGTGCTTTATGCTTCAAATATATGTCTGATAGGGAGAGAAATTCACGTAATATTGAAAATATATATAAATTTTACATAAGAGAGTTACAGTTTCATATCTTTCTCTCCTTGCGCCTCAGCTCTGGTTTTCTTGTCATGTTGTAATAAGCTGGAACTCCACAGAATAATGTCGAATAATAGCAGCGTTGACTTTTATGAGTTTGGGCCACAGTGGGTTAGTGCTGTCTTTGTCTTGGGTTTTTGAGTTGTTCTGCTTTCATAAAGACAGTTTGAAAGTTTTCTGTTCCTCATCTCAGCGTGGTTTACATGGCGTGGGAATGGTCTTTCCCCGAAGGTGTGGAAGGCCTCACCTTAGCACTGTTTGAGCCCCCGGCCACTTGGGGAGTTAATTTTCTGACACTTCTTTCACGTTTCTTCCATGTTTCTTAGTTCACGTATTTCTTTCTTTAAAACTCTGCAGGTACCTGCGTTTCGACTCTGTTCGTGTGGAGAGCTGCTTGGTCTGAAGTTCCAGGAAGGATCCTATACCCAGACAGGTGATTACGTATCTGAGGGCATCTTGTTGCCCAAGAATGGGGGCCAGTGTCATCTCGGATACCGGAACATTCTGAGCCTGGATGCTACGGAGTGGGATTGGGCCCCCTGCCCTCGCCTCTCTCCCTCACAGGCACAGGACTGTGATCTTGGCCTGTCCTGGGTGAGAGGGACCCTGTCCTGGTGTCTGAAGTGTCACACCAGTCATCTGGAGCCTGGACTCTGGCCTGGTGCCTTCCCTTGCTGGGATTCTTTTGCCCATCATAGTATCATCTATATTGTCCTCTCTGCTGTGTCTCAGTCCTCCTGAAGGAGGGCAGGGAGGGAAGGGTCAGGTCGCCAAGGTCTTCAGGATCGAGGCATTTGTACTGGGTGGTGCTGAAGCTCCGTGGGAGGATGACGTAACAGGAGAGAGCGAGGGAGGGCAGTTTGTACACAAGGGAAGCAGGAACCCATTACCAAAAAGAAAAAACGTGGTTACTGCGTTTACTTCTAAGTGATAATGTCTAGTCAGAGACTCCAGGTAATTGAAATACCTTCAGCTTTCCTTTAGACTTCTGTTAAATTAGAAAAGTTAATTTTAAATTTGTTTTCCTTTTAGAGCAAAGACAGAATTTTTGCTGCACGTGGTTTTGTTCTTTGGAATTAAAGCCAGAAATACAAAACCGTTAGGTGGCTAATTCACATCCCAAACTTAGATTTCTTTCCCAGTTGCCCTACTTTCCTGCACCAGTTGTGCTGACCAGTAACAAAAAGGCAACATAATGAAACTTTAGTGATAGCAAAAATGGTTTAAGGGAAATGTATAGCTTTACTTGGTTACATAAGAAAAGAAGAGAGATTGAAAATGAACGTTTATGTCCAATCTAAAAAGTCCGAAAAGGGGAGGGGTACATAATAAAAGAAAATAATGACAAAGAAATAAATGAACTAGGTAAAGAAACCATAGAGCACTATCAAAATAGAAGGCTGGTTCCACCGAGGCAGACCAGATCTTTGGCAGGATTGATCAAGGCGGAAGAACGTGCAGGAGCATTAGGAGGCTCGGCGGTCTCTTCCTCACGTTCTCACGTGTGAGGAATGCAGTTTGTCAGCTGTGTAGGGTGCAGATGGTTCCCCACCTTTAATTTAATTTCCCCGGGGCACCAGGCACTGTTGCAGAGAGCTTCTGCCTCCCACCAGGGCCTGCCTGTGAGCACCGAGAAACGCTGGTGGAAAAGTGGGCAGGCGGGGTGAACAGGCGCCCTCAAAATGCTCTTTCTGAAACAGTGGCATAGAGGTTACCTTAGGATGTTTCCTCTCCTCAGAAATTATGCTGTGCTCTTGCAGGCACATGTGCAGAATGCTTGTCTGCATCTAAAACCAGTTTTAAAATGGATTTTCATATGTTATCTTCAATATGCCGTAGCAGTGTCGAGATCTGCCTTTGCGTAAGGCACCAGGGGATAAGTGATGGAGAAAGTTAGTCTCTACTTTCTTTGCAAAAGTCTACAGTTTACGCTGGGAGATAGGCAGTACACCCAAATAAATATTTAGGAATAATCGTGATACATGCTTCAAATACCTAGTGAGTGGAGTGTCAGGAAAGAAACCTGATGAAGTGGTGTTAGCATGAGCCCTGAGGGCTGCATTTTAGGACCTGTGCACAGTGAGCAGGGCTCCTGAGCCTTCCTGCAAAACGTAGGTACACCAGTGGAGCTTCTCACGATGCTGGAAGCGTTCCTCGTCCAGTGTGGTAGCTACCCAGAACTTGTGCCTGTGGGACTTGAAATGTGCTAGTCCAGATGAGGAACTGAATTTTCAATTTATTGAATTTTAATTGAAATAGCCAGGTATGGCCAGCAGCTGTATTATACAGCAGCACAGATGTAGAGAAAGTAATCAGTGAAGAGAAAATGCAATCACTTGCAATCACGTTACCCAGAGTTGAATGCTTATAACATTTTCCAGTGGTCTTCCATCTTTTACATGTTGTATTCTGTGTTCCAGTGATTGTGTTAAGGGAAGAAACGCTTAGAAATGGCAAGATTTGCCTCCACCCCTGCTTCTCCCTTTCCATTTTTGCCAAGAAAAAAATTGGTATCTGATTTTAGTAATGGCTAGGCTTTGAACATTTTTCACGTCACTTGCGTTAGACAGGTAAGCCTTTTTAGGTGTCTTAGTTTCTTATTTCTAAAAGGGATATAGATACTGTTCTTCTCATTTCACAGATTACAAAGAGAGACTGCAGGGCATTAGATAAGTTGCGCGTGATTACGTAACCAGTTAGTAGCAGAGCTAACTCCTCAGACATAGGTCTGTGCAAAGCCTGGGGGGTCATGTTTGTACCTGTTGTGCTGAGCCCAACTTTGTATAGTTGTGTGTGTGTCTGTTTACTGGGGGACTTGCATATCCCAAAGCATTGTCGATGCCCCTGGTAGGGTAGCCCCGCACTGCTGCCTGGTCCTCAACTTCTGGGATGTGTATATCTCCTTACGATCTACAGGTCCCTGATACTGACTGTCACAGGCTGCCGCGTCTTTCCTGTTGACTCATGTTTGGTTCCTCCAGTGAAAATTTTACTTAGAGAAATGCTGCCTCCAAAGTACTTGTCTGCCACCAAACCTAAGAAGTCCTGGGCCCCAAATCTGTATGAGCTAGACAGTGACTTGGATAAGGAGCCGGATGTCATCATAGGAGAAGGCCCAACTGACTCTGAATTCTTTCATCAGAGGTTTCGGAACTTAATCTACGTGGAATTTGTTGGGCCTCGGAAGACCCTGATCAAACTCCGAAACCTCTGCCTCGATTGGTTGCAGCCGGAGACTCGCACCAAGGAGGAGATCATCGAGCTCTTGGTCCTTGAGCAGTTCCTGACCATCATCCCTGAAAAGCTCAAGCCTTGGGTGCGAGCAAAAAAGCCGGAGAATTGCGAGAAACTCGTCAATCTGCTGGAGAATTACAAGGAGATGTACCAGCCGGAAGGTGAGACTCTCCAAAGGGCGAGGGTGGTCAGCACAGGTGGCAGATGCTCTCCGGGGGTCTCCGCCTTGGCACTACGGACAGACGTTCTGGGCTGGATCCTCCTCTGTTGGGGCCTGGGGCACAGGGTCATCCTGTGCACTGTAGGAAGTCGAGCCACATCCATGGCCTTGTCCCACTGGAGGTAACTGCCAAGCGTGTCTCCACACATGGCCCAGTGTCCCCTGGTGGCTGAGAACCACCGAGTCACTGCCCTGAGTCAGGGACGGAAAGGAGACTCTTCCGTGGAAGGAAGAGAACCTCCCACGACCTGCGTCCTTATGGCGCAGGGCCCCAGGAAGTCGCCTGCGGCTGTTCTAGTCTGGGTGTGGATAGGGTGATCACAGCCACGCCCTCCATCCAGCCTTCCAGTGGCAGGCGTGGGGACGGGTTTTCAGTTGAGAAATGACAGGATCAGATCATTCCAGCTGCTTGTGTGTTTGAGGAGGGGAGGCACAGTCAGGGACTGGGGGAAACTATTGGGAGAACACTGGGCAGGGACGATAAAGTATTAAGTTGGTGTCTGGTGTCCCCTCAGACGACACCAACAGTGACGTGACCAGTGATGAAGACATGAACCGAGATGGAAGAGAGTCCCCCCAGCCTCGCGCAGGCCGTTCTTTCAGCAGTGAGTAACCAACCCCCTGGTCACACCACCTGTGGGGGCGGGGGTCATGCTGTCGGTGTCACTTAGCTCTGATGGGAAAAGAAATTAGTTGATGACATAACGAGACATTTTTGTGTGTAAACAGACACCAATAAATGGAATGAAATATGGGGTTTCCTTAAACACGGAAGCGTTTACGGCTATTTGGCATTTGCAGCAGGCTGCTTCAAGCTGTGCCCCCAGCCCCCCAGGGGCGTTTGTCAAAGCACTTCAGTGAACTTCTTCAGGGAGCATTGCTTCCGTGAAGGGTGTGGGTTTTACTTCCCTGCAGCAGAATAACATGCACGCTGAGGTCAGCTGTGTCAGGCAGATACTGGAGGGTCTGCCGTCCATTCTCCTGAACGTGGACGCGGCCCCGTAGGTCCTGGGCAGCCAGCAGAGGGTCTGGAGGGAGAGCTGGCTCTGGACTGAGCTTCGGAACTTGCTTTGAAGCCCCCCTGGGGCAAAGCCTCCGGAAACCGTGTTGCAGCTTTGGGTAGGGGAGAGGCCAGACTGAGCCGGGGGGCCTGGAGCCCTTGGTTTTGGATCCGTCCCCTCAAGGGGAGCAGAGGGATAGAGCCCCTGTCTGGGAGGGTGCACATGCGCGTGAAGGGAGGTCAGGCAGGTCGGAGCACTTGGTTAACTCCTCAAATGTCTGACCTGCTCAGGTGACCGGGAGCATAACCGCGACTGGGCCAGGAGGGGCCGCAGCAGAGATGCGGAGCCGCGAGGCCGCTGGTCGTTCCCCAGGAACCCCAGAAGCAGTAAGTTGTCTTGCTGTGCGTGGGCTAGAGGGAAGACGCAGGGCCTCGGGGATCCTGTCGTGCAGTTTGGACCGAGTTCTGGTTCCCCCGACCAGCCCGAGGCCCGTTTCCGAAGCTCCAGGCAGCAGTGTCACCTCCGCATTCCTGCCCCGGCTTCGCGTTGCCGCCCGTCCTGTTGTGTGCTCAGTGTTTTCTTAAGCTGGCACTTTATTTTAAACTAGAAGTTTCTGTGTAAAAGACTGCACTGGGGTGTTTATGGGGCTCCTCAGAGCCTGCCACAGAACGCAGAGGAGAGAAGCAGACGCGCGCGCGCGCACGTGCTCACCCCCAGATGGGCGCGGGGCTGCTGGGACAAGCCTGGGATCTGCCGCGCCGGACGGGCCTTGCTCCTTCCTCACGTCTTTTCTCTTCCCAGGGCTGCCTCAGCGGGATCTTTCCCTTCCTGTGACGGCAAAAACAAGTTTCGCAGCGGAAAGAGATGACAGCAGGGACTCGATGGACTATGAGTCCCGATCCCAGGTATGCTCAGGCTTCCTCTCTTTCCAGAAAGGCCGTCTTCACTTCACGGCAAAGATGCCTTTCCTTCCCCAGATGACGTGTCCGTCTGCCCCTAGAGTCCCATTCACTCCCACGAGGAGCCCGGGCCCATCCGTGCAGGGGACAGGAGGCCCAGGTCTCTGATTCATCCGTGTAGTCAGAGGAGCTCTTGCCCCCTCAGTGTACATCCTTGGTAGGTTGGTCACATGAGCTGTTCTTTACAGGCGAGGGCAGAGCAACTCTGGAGATCTTTCTGGTCCTCAGGAGGGAGCCAGGGAAACTGTAGGTCTACAGAGCAGACTGGCCAGGGAGAGCAAGGCTCTGGAGCTGATGAGAGCAGGGTTCGAAGCCTGGCTCTGCCACCTGTTGGCTGTGTGGCCTTGGGCCGTTTACTCAGCCGAACCTCAGTTTCTTCATCTGTACAGTGAGCGTGGTGATTGCTCCCAGGGCTACTGTGAGGAGCCAGAGAGATCCACTCTCACACATACATGAAGTGTCTGCTATCACCTGGCACGTGGCAGGCACACCGTCAGTGTGAACGTGTGTGGCAGGCATGGGTTCAGAGGCAGCGTGTGCTGGGGAGATGGGTGAAGGGGAAAAGGACGTGGGATTTGAGCTGGCCCTTAAGGAAGGAGGAGAGGGGTCACTTAGACATGGCGGAGTGTGGAGGACCCCAGCATCGACCGGACTCGAGGAGGAGGAGCCGGTGGGCTGAGCCATCCTTTCCTTCACACTCAGTGCCCCCCGCGTCAGGCAGGAGGGCAAGGCCCTGGGGAGCACAGCAGTGACCAGGAGAGACAGGGGCCCGGCCCCAAGAACTTTTGACATTTGCACAAATAAATATTCATATAAATATTGTGTGTAACTGTTAATCATTCTCAGTGTGCTGAAAGAAAAATAGAAGGTTAACAAGAAATTCTAATTAGGGTCTCGATTTATATTGAAGGAAAATGTCTTTGAGGCAGTAACACTTGACACGTCACAGCTGGAGGAGGAGGAAGAGGAGTAGGCCGGGCTTGGTGTGGGGAGAAAGGGATCCTGGGCATTAGGGAGAGTGCAGGTCCAGGCCCGGGGGCACCGAGCAAGAGGCTGGAGGCGCGGGGAGGCCTGGTCACTGGTGTCCTGGTAGTTGGGCTTTGTCTTGTTTTGCTTTTTAAATGCCCTTCCCTGGCGATGTGTAAAGAGTTGGCAACTGAGCCCCATGTCTGCGTAGTCCAAAAGTCGGAGGCCACTGAGTCCCGACTCAGTATGGTAGACTTTATGGTGTGTAGGGCGAGAAGTGACCGTCGAGAGACCAAACTGAGCCTTTGAGTCTTTGTTAGCTGGCCAGCGGCTGTCGCGTGCATCGCTGAGAGGCAGCAGCGAGCCGGGGAGCAAGGCTTTTGTATAGGCGTAAATCATATAATGGAACTTTGCTGGGTTGAGTAAGCTTGGTTACAGAAGTTAATAATTTTAAACTATCTTTTAAAAAATAAAACATGGTCAACAGAAAACCATTTTTTAATAATTAAAATTATAAAAACAAAAAACATTATTTTATTAAGTTACAATTTTATATCCTATTTAAATAAAAAATAGGGAACCTTTCATAGCTCTAAAGTTTTATTATATTAGCATTATATATCATTATATAAACATTATAAAAAAAATTTTAACAGTTTTAAAATTTTAGCCTTTAACATAAAATATATTATATAAATTATAACAATCATTTAACCTGTAACAGTAGAGACAGCAACAGTAGATGATATAAATTACATTTTGAGGTGTACAAAACAGAAAATCCTCTCATCATTTAGCATCATGTGCAAATCTCTTAATGGTTCATATGAAGAGGTCATATTGTGAAATTAAATTGTGCCACATTGGCGTTGTTTTTAGGACAGTTGAACTTGATTGCAGCATTTAGATGTCATTTGTTGATTTCAAACACAAAGTGAGCAGCCGCTTTATGGCAACCCACTAGCATAGATAAACTTAGATTTTAAGTCAAAGCTTCCTTTTTCTTTCACATGAGAAAGAGTTGCATTTTTGAAGCTCTGCCTCGTTTCCTTGCCCTGCTTAGTTTTTGTTGTTGTGTTTGCTTTTTAATGGCTGGACACTGGCAGTTGCATAAATAAGGCTTTCCGCTCAAACCCCGATGCCCGTGTCTCTTCCTCTGTCTTAGTAACAGATGCAGCTTAGTCTGCAAACCCTTTTTCCTTACATTTTTCATGTAGCTATGACATTCGCGTCTCTTCCCAGCAATACAGCTACATTAAATTTAATATCAAAACTTTTATACTTTCTTTACAAAACACGTCACATTGCAGAAAACCCTCATCCACAATATTGCAAGGCAGGTTGATGCTCTTCTTCCCACTTTAAAGATGAAGAATCTGAGGCTCAGAAAGATTTCTGTTCTCTAGGGTTGCACTGCTCGTAAATGGTGTGATCCTCCTTCGACCCAAGGGTTCTCTCCAGCTCCAAAGCCTGTGGGCTTCCCACAGTACCGTCTGCCTGTCACGTCTCTCTCCAGGCCTCAGCGCTGTCCTCTCCGGGACCATGACTCACCCAAACCAGTGATGTTCTAGTGCAGCCATCTGGCAATAAGCAAAGATCCTTTAGGATCCTGCATAGAAAGGTTCTCCTGAGTAACGCAGGGAGTTTTTAACGTCCATTAAACAGAAAAGGCAGTTATAAAATGAAGGCCCTCAGTGCTTACAGTTATTCCTGGGTTATTTGGAAATTCTACATACTGGAAGCACCCTCAGTGTAGCCATGCTATGTGCTGGAGGAACAGGAAGGGAGGTTTAAGTCACAAGTCCTGACCAGACGTCTGCTGGAATGCATCTTCTTTCTGTTCCCCGAGTGTACCATGTGTAGTTGATATTTAGCCTGTTGGAGCTTTCCCGCCAATCCCCTCCTGTATGTATCATAATCTCATCTACCATTTAAGGCCCCGACTGAGGCCCGCTGTAAAACCTTTGCTCACTGTTCAGGCCCACCCTGAACTGTCCCTTTACAAAACTTTAGCACTTATTATCTCTACCCCAATTTATTGTTCATTGTTCTCTAATTGTTTCATGAGTCTTTTCTCTCCAACCAAATTATAAGCTGCATGAGGGCAAGGAATATGTGTCATGCGTCTTTCGGATCTGCCTCAGAGTGTAGCAACAAGGTAGGTACGACGTAGGCCCCTAGTAACACTTGACTTGGATCACTCAGAACCCCAAATACCGTGAGCACTTCTTATATAACTTCGTATATGTAACTCCCATGTCGCCAACATTATTCTTCTCTCTCTGGATGTCCATGGGGACAGACTCCATTGAGAGGTCTGTGTTTGCTGTTTTAGGATGCTGAATCATACCAAAACGTCGTAGACCTCGCCGAGGACAGGAAACCTCACAACACAGTCCAGGACAACATGGAGAACTACAGGAAGCTGCTCTCACTAGGTAAGCAGCTGCTTTTCTTGGTCACTGCCAGTCCACTCACTGGAGCATTTCGTCACCTTGCTCTTTTCAAGCTGCGGGACGTTACGAGTCCGTGTTAAATACTTGGACTTGAAGCGTAATAAGAAGCCTTTGAAAGATTTCAAACAAGGGAGTAAACGATAAGATTTGTGTTTTTAAGAAATCCTTCTGGCTTTGGGTGAAGAATACATTGCACAGGGTGGGGGTGATATGTTTTCTAGAGCCGTGGCACTGGAAAGTTTTAAACGTACCTTTAGGATGGGATCCTTAGTTCTCGTACGGACTCTCCTGGAAGCCGTCTAGCCCAGGTGGTACTAGGCGGTTGGCTGTGCAGGTCTGTAAGGCCTGGGGCCTCGAGGAGCTCCGGTGTTTGGAGAGCAGGTGGAGAAAGAACAGTCAAGAGGTAAGAGGAAGACCACGAGGCCCAGTGAAAAAGAGGATATCAAGACTTAAAAGGTGTTTACGAGAAGGTGAAGACTAAAAGAGGATGCACAGAATTCGGGGACACATGGGGTCTTTGTACAAATTTCTGGGTGGAGTCAGAAGAATTAATTAAAATGCAGATTAGAATATGTTAAGGAATGGATAGTAGGGAAATGAGACAGCAAATGAAAGACATCCAAAGAATCGGATATGGGCCGCTTCATATTTAGTGGCTCAGAGAAAGACGGAGATCAGTTTATGGTGATGAGTCTTGGTCCTCAACTCGAATTTGAGCCGTCGTATTGTTCTTGTGACCAGGGGTGCAGCTTGCCGAAGATGACGGCCACTCCCACATGACACAGGGCCACTCATCAAGGTCCAAGAGAAGTGCCTGCCCAAGCACCAGTCGAGGTAAGCACAGGCACGTCCTGCAGAGGAGCCGCAAAGCAGTGAGATGCGTATCGAGAAACCTGCTACACTTTCCATTCCTACACATCAGAGAAGGGTGCTCTCCTCCAAGTCCCACTGTCGTTTTGTACAAGTACAGGGACTAGGGAGTATTTACATTGAGGTTTCTTTCCAGGTCTGAAAACTATGCCTGAAGCCAAAAAGTCAACCCACCGGCGGGGAATTTGTGAAGATGAATCTTCCCACGGGGTGATAATGGAAAAGTTCGTCAAGGATGGTTCCAAATCAGGAAGAGCAAGGGAGCCAAGTGATCGGTCGCAGAGGTTCCCTAGAGCGTCAGATGATAATTGGAAGGACGTTTCATTAAACAGGAGGGAGTCAGTGATCCAGGAGAGGGGTTATGAAGGGAACGCGTTCAGGGGAGGCTTTAGGTTTAACTCAAACCTTGTTTCCAGAAGGAGAGTTATTGACAGAAAGAGGCGCTATCATTTCGACACAGATGAGAAGGGCTCAAGCCATGACCAGAAAGGCTGTGCCAGAAAGAAGCCCTTTGAGTGCGGTAGCGAGATGAGGAAAGCGATGAGCATGAGCGGCCTGAGCGCCCCCTCCCTCACCGAGTCGCCGCCCGCCATCGATTTCGCGGCCATGGCGTACGTGTGCGACGAGTGCGGGAGGTCGTTCGGTGTCATCTCAGAGTTTGTCGAGCACCAGATCATGCACACTAGGGAGAACCTCTATGAGTACGGCGAGTCCTTTGTCCACAGCGTGGCTGTCAGTGAGGTCCAGAGAAGTCAGGCTGGGGGCAAGCGCTTCGAGTGCAAGGAGTGCGGGGAGACGTTCGGCAAGAGCGCCGCGGTGGCCGAGCACCGGGAGACGCACGCGAGGGAGCGCCTGGCGGACGCCGAGGACCCGGAGTGCGAGGAGACCTTCATGCCCAGCCCGACCTACGCCGAGCTGCAGAAGATGTACGGCAAAGACAAGTTCTACGCGTGCCGCGTGTGCAAGGAAACCTTCCTGCACAGCTCCGCCCTGATCGAGCACCAGAAAGTCCACTTCGGGGATGACAAAGATCACGAGCGCGATCGGGAACGCGAGTGCGAACGGGAACGGGAATGCGAGCGCGAACGGGAACGGGAACAAGAACGCGAACGGGAACGCGAGCGCGAACGGGAACGCGAGCGCGAACGCGGGCAAGCCTTTACGCCTAGCTCAGCCTTTGAGGAGTTTCAGAAGATGTGTGGTAAAGAGAAAGTCTATGAGTGTAAAGTGTGCGGGGAGACTTTCCTTCACAGCTCGTCCCTGAGAGAGCATCAGAAAATCCATGCTAGAGGAAACCCATTTGAAAATAACGGTCAGCCCCTTAAAAGGCGCCAGAAAACTTACGGTAAGGAGAAGCCCTACGACTTCAGCGACGGCAGGGATGCTTTCATGCCGAGCTCAGACTTCAGCGAGCGTCAGAAAATTCATTCTCGAAAGAACCTCTTTGAAGGCAGAGGGTACGAGAAATCTGTCATTCATAGCGTGCCCGCCACTGAATCTCCGAAGAGTCACACTATCACAAGACCACCTGAAAACGAGGAGGAGAAGGCGTTCACCATCAGTTCTAACCCCAATGAAAACCAGAAGTTTCCTACTCAAGAAAATGCCTGTGAGGGGAAACCATACGAGAGGTCTGTTATTCATAGCTTAGCCTCTGCTGAAGCTCAGAAAAGTCACAGTGCAGTGGGGCCCGTTAAACCCAAAGTGATTGCAGAGTCTACCGTCCGGAGCTCGGATGTTAGTAACCATCAGAAAGTCCGTGCTGGAGGGAACACCTGTGAAGGAATGGCATACAAGAGGTCTGTCATTCATAGCTTGGCAGCTCCCAAACCTCTGAAAATTCACGATGGAAATGAAGTGCTTGAATGTAATGAGCAGGGAGAATGCTCCATTTATATCTCAGACCTTAACGATAAGCAACAGAAGATTCTTGCCAGAGAGAAGCCTTACGAAGGGGGTAAGAATAACAACTCCGAGGACTCTGCCGTACAGAGTGTATCCCGTGCCACACCTCAAAAAAGTCTTACCGGAGAGGGATCTGGTGAAGTTAAGAAGGATGGTGAATTCTCTGTTCCCAGCTCAAATGTTCGTACATACCAGAAGGCTCGTGCTAAAAAGAAATACATTGAGCACAGAAGCAATGAAACCTCTGTGATTCACTCTCTACCTTTTGGCAAACAGCACATGGTTCGCCCTAGAGAGAAGCTCTATGAATGTCAGGAGTGTGGGGAGTCCTTTGCTTATAGCTATGACCTCACTGAGCACCAGAAGATTCACGATAGAGAGAAGCCTTCTGGAAGTAGAACCTATGAGCTATCTGTCATTCGCAGCTTGGCCCCTACTGACCCTCAGACAAGTTATGCCCAAGAGCAATACGCTAAGGAACAGGCACGCATTAAAAGTATGGAGTTCAGGCAACTCTTTGCTGCTAGTAAAGAGCTCAACACACATCATAAAACCTATGCTCAAGAGAAGTCCCATGGCGAGGAGACCCAAGGCAAGGACACCCATGGCAAGAAGACTCATGGAGAAGAGACTCATGGCGAGAAGACTCATGGTGAAGAGACACATGGCAAGGACACTCATGGTGAGGAGACTCGTGATGAGGAGACCCAAGGCAAAGAGACCTGTGGTGAGGAGATCCGTGGTGAGGAGATCCGTGGCCAGGAGACCTGTGGCGAAGAGGCCCATGGCGAGGAGACCCACGTTGAGGAGATCCATGGCCAGGAGGTGGTTGAAGACTCTGTCATTCAGGGCTCAGACCTGGCTGAACCTCAGCAGGAAGACCCTGATGACACAATCTACGAATGTCAGGACTGCGGGCTGGGCTTCGTGGATCTCTCAGACCTCACGGACCATCAGCAAGTCCACAGCAGGAAGCGCCTCGTTGACAGTCGTGAGTACACGCATTCTGTCATTCACACCCATTCCATCAGCGAGTACCAGAGAGATTACACTGGAGAGCAGCTGTATGAATGCCCAAAGTGTGGGGAATCTTTTATTCACAGCTCGTTCCTTTTCGAGCATCAGAGAATCCATGAGCAAGACCAGTTGTATTCCTTGAAGGGGTGTGACGACGGTTTTATTGCCCTCTTGCCGATGAAGCCACGGAGGAATCGTGCTGCAGAAAGGAATCCTGCCCTTGCTGGGTCGGCCATCCGATGCCTTCTGTGTGGGCAAGGCTTCATTCACAGCTCTGCCCTTAATGAGCATATGCGGCTTCATCGGGAAGATGATTTACTAGAGCAGAGCCAGATGGCTGAGGAAGTTATCATTCCGGGCTTGGCCCTCACCGAGTTTCAGAGAAGTCAGACTGAAGAGAGACTCTTTGAATGCGCGATATGTGGAGAATCCTTCTATGACGCAGCAGAACTTGCGGATCATGTAAGCGTTCATAAGAACGAGCCTTACGAGTATGGCTCCGCCTATACGCATACCTCATTTCTTACCGAGCCCCTCAAAGGAGCTATACCATTCTATGAGTGCAAGGATTGCGGCAAATCCTTTATTCATAGCACGGTCCTCACTAAGCATAAGGAGCTTCATCTTGAAGAAGATGAAGAAGAAGAAGCGGCAGCAGCAGCAGCAGCAGCCGCCGCCCAGGAAGTTGAGGTCAATGTCCTTGTTCCACGAGAAGTTCTGCGGATTCAGGGGTCAAACGTAGAGGCTGCCGAGCCAGAGGTGGAGGCTGCCGAGCCAGAGGTGGAGGCTGCTGAGCCAGAGGTGGAGGCTGCCGAGCCAAACGGCGAGGCTGAAGGGCCAGATGGGGAGGCTGCAGAGCCGAACGGAGAGGCTGAACAGCCGAACGGGGAGGCCGAGCAACCGAACGGGGATGCCGACGAGCCAGATGGTGCAGGGATCGAAGACCCAGAAGAAAGAGCCGAAGAGCCCGAGGGAAAAGCCGAAGAGCCCGAGGGAGATGCCGACGAGCCCGACGGCGCAGGGATCGAAGACCCGGAAGAAGAAGGTGAAGATCAAGAGATCGAGGTGGAAGAGCCGTACTATGACTGCCAGGAATGCCCAGAAACCTTCACTTCCGGTGCAGCGTTCGGCGAGCACCTGAGAGCCCACGCGAGCATGATCATATTCGAGCCGGCCAGTGCCTTCGGCGAGTGCTCGGGCTACATCGAACGCGCCGGCACCAGCACGGGTGCTGCTGATCGCGCCGATGAGAAGTACTTCAAGTGCGACGTGTGCGGGCAGCTCTTCAGTGACCTCCTGTCCCTTGCCAGACACCAGAACACCCACACCGGCTGAGAGCTGGGCGTAAAGGCTGGAGAACCTTCCCCTAGAACTTGACTCTTAACCAAACTGTGGAAAATTCCGACCAAGCCTTGTAGTGCCAGTAGCAGACTTACCTTAACTTGTACACACCTGACTTAACAGCAGACAGCTCGGACTGAGAAGAGACTGACCGTGGACGCTCTTGCCATGTCAGTCTCTGATCAGACGTCGGCGTCTGCAAGCGGGACAGCCACGGCAAACACCTTCCCTTTCACACGGATGACCAGAGGGACGGGAAAACCCCATAAGCGTCCGAGACTACAGAGATTGCCCCCATCACCTGTAAATGACATGCCTGTGAACTATATATAGTTTTCCTGAGGTGTATATAAAACAGCAAATCATAGCAAAACAGTGACCATGTATTTGGATTTGATATGATACACGGTGACAGTTTACTGTGCAGAGGTACCTCACTTGGTACTCTGCGATTTTTCTTTTTTTGGAGGAGGAGAGAGCAACAAATCAGAACATATTTGTCAGTGTCTTAGACCCTGAGAAAGGTTGATCGTGCTTTATTTGAACCCTGTCAGTATCTTTTTGAGTAATCGTATTTTGTTCCTTACTCCTAGATAGTCTTGTGAAGGTGTAGGCATGATAGGGAACATGCCTTTTACTCTCTGCTGTTTGAAAAGGGAAGTTCTTTCAGCTTCTTTCTGCGGCCATTTTGTCTGCACCAACACTTTGGAACCTCACGTTGTGTAAGCTTTTACAATATGCAGATTGGCCTTTTGTGACCCAAACTGATCGGTTGCCACGTTGTATGTACCTTGCAGTGGTTCTCATTTAAAAAAACTACCAGTTTCGTTGTTTTTGTTTTTAAACCAACTCAACGTGTGTTCCATAGTGAATCCGTAAAACCTGAAGCTTTTCCCTGTGGATCTCACGTCTTTGCCTTTAAAGAACGGGTCGCAACCATCACTAGATCACGGTAGTGCCTGATGAAGGTGGAGAACCGCAGGAGGGGCTCTCATGCTGTAAATAAGGATGCAGGCTAACGACCTTTCGTCGCTTCCTTTGTGCGCTTCCCTGCCTTAAGTGACAAGTAGCAATGTGGCTTGGGTCCCCTGTGCGTTAGTATGTGCTGCCACAAGTCAGTTTGCACCCTGGGTGCCCAGGAGCTAATATCCTTAGATCTTTCTATGGCTAATTTTCCTCTTCTTTACCTGTCTTACCTTCTAACCCCACGTTTTGCATTTAAAATAAAAAAAAGCTTTCTTTACAGTCCAACCCAAGCTTAACATGGACTCAGGTTCCCCAGCAGCCTTAATTTGTTTTGTTACCGCGTGTTCCTTCTCTTTCAGCCCTCAGTATTTCTGAGCTGTCCCTTAGAGTGTCATAGTTGTCTGATCTCCTCAGTTTTCCTCTTAATCACAAGTTGATCTCACAGCTTGAGGCCCCCCCGCCCCCGACCCCGGGTCCTATAATGCGGACCACTGTGCTCCTTTGCGTCCCTTCCCCTCGCATAATGGCTATATTAAGAAATTTTTTGGCCACCCGTTGGCTGGAAAGAAAAAAAAATTTAAAATTTAAAAAAATTAAAAAAAAAGAAAAGATCTGTACATTAAGTGAGCAAAATAAGTGCAGATCATTAAATACCCACTGGGGGAAATGTGTCTGACTCTTACCCTCCTAGATCGGGATTAGGGCTCATGAGGAGCGTGTCAAAGCTGCAGGTGATGCCAAAGTCTAGGGACGTTGTGAGCGGAGAGCAAGAAAGGAGTAAACCAAAGAAGGGAGTCCAGTCCATCACCAGACCTAGGAGGGAGAGGACAGACAGAAGAGAACACCGGAGGGAGGATTGGAAAGCCAGGTTGGCGAGAAGGAATTGAGTGTGTGTCCTGCGCAGCGTGAAGGAAGGCGCTTTCTCGATGGCATGGTGGAGGCGGGGCCAGCTGCATAGGAAGGCTGAGGTTGGAGTGGACATCCTGGCACGCCGAGGGCAGCGAGGCCCCGCGCGGGACTCTGTCGGCGCTGGCGTGAGCTCGCTGGGTTCGCTCCCGCCGGCAGCGTCAGGCAGTCGGCTCTTCTCAGAAGGCAGTTGCCAGACGCCAGGGTGTCTGTTCCAACCTTAAGTTAGTGAAAAGTCGGTAACAACTTGAACGGTAAACAGTAGGGCAATGATGAAGTAAATGTGTCTGTGGACTCTTACGCAGCTGGTTAAAAATGATAATCACGAGTTATGTAGTAACGTGGAAATATATTTACAGAATATTAAGTGGAGAGAGCAGGACACAAAATTATATTTATACTACAATTATAACTGTTTAAAAATGTATGCTTATAGTGAAAAGCTGTGGTGGTGGTGGTGGTGGTGTTGTAGGCTTATAGTTGAGCATTATTTTCTTAAGTTCCTTGATTGTTCTTTATGGTAGTGTTGCTAAAATGTTTCTGATCACATTTCCATTGTGAACGTAATTTGAACTGATTATCAAACACTTGGAAAATACAGAAAAGTGGAGGAAAAAAAATTTAACCCCCCCCATCCAAAGACAGATATACTCTTCAGTATCTTGTTTACTTTTGTTTCTGTGCACAGGTTTATGATTATAACTGTGTCAAAATGTGTATTCAAAATAGCTATTATGTTACCTTTGTGGAATTATGGTTGAATACTTCCATCTTAATTTTTTCAAATGTTCCTTAAAGTAGTGTCCTGATAACAAAGTGTATTATGTATGTCTCCGTTACAAACATAATACATTCCCCAAAGGAAAAATTAGGAAATAACAGTAAATTAGAAAAGAAAAAATTCTCCCATATTCCCAGCACCCAACAACTACTGTTAACATCTCGATCTATTTCCTCCATCTTGTTTCAGTGCACAAGCTTGTGATTATAACAGTGTTAAATATGTATACATAAAGTCTAATATGAAAAGAAATGTGGAAAATAACTAAAATAGTATTGTCGTTGTGGGATTATGGTTAAATATTTTGTCTTAAATTCATTGAATAATCTTTGGTGTTTTGGTAATAAATTTTATGTATGTATTTTTCCATTACAAATATAATACATACTCATAGAAAACTTTGGAAATTCAGTAAAGTAGAAGAAGAAAATTTACCCGTATTCCCAACACCCAGCAACAACTGCTGTTAGCAACATCTCAATCTGTGCACCGGTCTGCGATTATTGGGGTGTTAATGATAAGTATGCGTAAGTGTCAAAGATGGGAAGAAGGATGGAAAACAATTAAGAAATGGCTGTGTGGTCGTTGTGGGATAATGGTTATTTTGTCTCGGTTTCCTTGAGTGGTCTTCATCATGATAGTGTTTTGGTGGTCCACCTTTATTACATATATTCCCATTATATATGAAGTATGTGTTTATTATAGTAACTTCGAAGTACCGAAATGTAGACGAGAAACTCACCCGTATTTTCACCATCCAAAGACTGTGGTTAACATCTTGATGTATTTTCTTCATCCTGTTTCTGTGCACAGGTTTTTGGTTTGTTAATATGGTTGTGGTCGTTCTATCTATCTGTAATAGTGTCAACAATAAAAATAAAGTTAAAAATAAAATATTTCTCAGTCTCTTGTTTGTAAAGTGTTTGGGATGGTTAAATAGAGTTTTTTTGTTAAAGTTATAAATCCAGAAGCTTAGTGCCTCTTTAGGCCTAAAAAAGTTGGCTTGCAAATCTTATTCTATTTTAAAGTGTTACATATATCATCCAATTACTTCTAAGGGGTCTTTTAATACTGCTCGATTCGACCTTTTCAACTATGCTCACAAAACGAAAACATATATTTCAATAATTTTTTAAACTTAATAATAATCACAAGTATATTTTAGTTACTTGAATGGGCATTTTTAATTGGAATTAAGAGATTTTCTCAAACAGAAAAAAATACTAATGAGCCCTTAACATAAAAGTGTTAATATTAAGATTTAGAATCTCTTTAAGGTGTCTATTCCTAACTCTTGCCTAAGGTTAAAAGGTGATTATCCTCAGAGGGGTCATTTGCATACTTTTGTCTCCCAAGTTAATTAGTCGTACATCAACTTGACTTCACCACCAGAAACCTTTTATCATCCTAGAGAGACTGTAATTTTTAAACCTGCCTGTGATTCCATAGTGACCAGAGATTTTCAGCCAAGTCCCTAACTCGGCCGTAGATACCCAACTTGTGGCTTCTGTGTCCCTAATTCCATAACTCAGAGGAGCTGGTCACCTACTCCACGCAGTTTCGAGTCTCTGTGTGTCACATGACTGGATTTTGCTCTTAAGATATAGAAGTGTCTTTTAATTTTGGGATTTCATTTCCATTTAATTTCGGGATTTGAAAGAGTCCTGCATTCTTTCATGTTCTTAAAACTTTTATGTCTTGTGGCATCTATTTTGGTCACAGCTTTGATGACCATTCTGTATAATAAGGGGTGTCAGCATAGGTCAGGGTGAGAGGCTCAGTACTTTTAAAGACTGATTTCCTGAAAAGTATATTACAAAAAGTAGTAGAGGAAGGGAATGAAGTGGGTGTCATTTGGGGTTACCTGACCAGCTGTCATGTTCTTGGGGAGTTGCTTCTCTTGCCCCCCAGGTGAAGCGGTAGTGAACTCCTTACTGCCACGTTTATTCCATCAGATTTAACCCCTCCCTGGCATCAGCGGATAGGTGCTCATGGGTTGCTAATGCCCAGTCAGACTCAAAAAAGACTAAGGGCTACCCGAGTGGTCGTGTAAGTTGGGGCTGGGTATACTCATGAACAGACAGAATTACCTGGAGGGAGATAAGGCCACGTGGCCAGAGAGAATCCTGGTTCCTGGGGCCTCACCTACCCCAGTGCCTTACAGAGTCTGGCTGAACTGCCTGCCCTTGGGTTCCTTTCACATGAATGATTTGTTGACAAAGAAACCTCCCAAGGACTACTGGATGTTAATCTAAAGAACTAATTCTCGGGGACTGAAATACTGCAAGGTACAGCACAGTTAAGATGTAACACGCTGTCTGTAGGCAAGCCAGCTCTTAAG